TATATTGGTTTCACTGTATTTTTCCATGACAGTAGAAAGTTTACACTGGTCTCTCCTGAGATCTGAGTTCACTTTAAACAGGCAAACAAGATTTTTATCTTGGTCTCCTTCAAAGGCACAAAGTTGACATCAGGACAGCTCTGTTTCTGCTCCAGAAACCAGTTTAAGTAAGTAACTGTTAACATTCAGAGTGTCACTCTTGATCTCTTTGATAGTTTTCTCCAAAGCAAGAATAAGTAGTGTAAAAGCAGAAAATATGAACTAAGTTTTTTGTGTGTTCTGATGAATCATCTGAAGTCAAATGTAATATCATTATATCCAATCATTGTAGTCAAGATAGTAGTGCTTGGTGAAACAGTTCAGTGATTTTTTTTAACTCTACTATGATTTTAGAATCAACATGGAGGATCCACTGGATTTCTATATAGTAGATATTGCTGAAGTGAAAGAGGCCCTGGAAAACAGTGATACTGCTGCAGCAACTGAGAAAATTCAAGAATGTTTAGAAAAGCAAGAAAAGATTCCATTAAACATTGCCATTACAGGAGAGTCTGGTGCTGGTAAATCCACTTTTATTAATGCCTTCAGAGGTATAGACCACAAAGATGAGAGGGCAGCCCGCACTGGTGCTGTAGAAACCACCATGGAGCTTACAAAATACCCACATCCAAACTATCCTAATGTCTTATTCTGGGATCTCCCTGGTATTGGCACTACCAATTTTCCAGCTGATGAGTATCTGAAGAAAATGGAATTTGAAAAGTTTGACTTCTTCATCATCATCTCAGACACTCGTTTCAGAGAAAATGATGTGAAACTCGCTCTGGAGATTCAAAAGATGGAGAAAAAGTTCTACTTTGTCCGCTCCAAAATTGACAATGATGTTCGTGCTGAAGAAAGAACTCAGAAAGATTTCAGTCTAGAGAAGAGTCTTAAAGGGATTAAGAGAAACTGCATTCAAGGTAAGACTGGGTTTTGTTTTGTTTGTTTTTTTAGTTCCCTTACCTCTAAAAACCAAACAAGATCTTTACTTAGAATTCTTTTGTGGACCCTAATAAATGCCACCATGAAGATTGTCATGTTAGTATATTTAGAACTGGTCACACTGGTATGACCAGGTGTGAGGTGTGAATAAACCGATTTCAGTCCAGTCAACATGCTGACTGAGACTCTTTGTCTTTTTAATAACATGTCAGCTTTGTTAACTAGTGTAGATTCTCTAGAGCCAGAGTCATAAATACAATTTATGTATCAAAGACCAAATTTAAGGATATCTGCTAATATGCAACTTTTTAGATTTCAGAGTTTAAAAAAGGATGTAATTTTTTTTTTTTTTAATGGGATTTTGGATTTTCTTAAAACACAGGTCTTGAAAAAGGAGGGATGACATCTCTTAAGGTCTTCCTGGTGTCCAGCTTTGAACTCCACCTTTATGATTTCCCTCTCCTACAAAATACCTTAGAGAAAGAACTCCCAGCACATAAGAGGGATGTTCTGCTGTTTGCCATGCCCAACATCAACATGGAGATCATCAACAAGAAGAAAGAAGCCTTTCAGGCCAAGATAAAATATCACGCTGCTGGATCTGCAATGGCAGCAGGCGTACCGATTCCTTTCCTTTCTGTTAGTGTTGATCAAACCATAATGGTGAAAGCTATAGAAGATTATTTAACTGTGTTTGGTCTTGATGAGCCTTCACTGGAAAGGCTTTCTTCCACCTCAGGTGTGTCTTTAGATGAATTACTTGCTGTCCTTAAGTCACCACTTGCTGCCAAAACCATAACCAATGATCTCGTCCTGAAGGCATTGTCCCACTTAACAGGCACAACTGCATTAATGGCAGCAGAGGACGGGTCCAGATTTATTCCATTATTTGGAATCCCATTAGCAATGAGTCTGTCTTTTGTCACAACCTACAGAGCTCTGAGTTTTTTCCTCAACATGCTTGCAGACGATGCTCAGAGTGTGTTTAAAAAGGCTCTGGGTTTGAAAACCTCAGACTAATATTTTATGAACAAGCTTTCATTTGAGTACTGAAACTGCCAGCATTTTCCATAGTTTGTTTTTCTAAATAAATCACTCAATCATCCAAATCATAATCTAGTTTGTCTATCTTAACAAATGCGCTTGTACAGCTGGAAGACATCAGTGTAGTGTAATTTTAAGACTTTAAACTTTGCTTCTGGAATGTAATTGTTAGGTTCCAGTTATTTGGGGTTTTGTAGTTTGGTTTTGGTATTTGGTTTATTCTTGTGCATTTTATCTCCCTTTCTTTTGCCTGCTCCTTACTTGAATTATTTGCTTTGAAAGTCTTTTGAAGGTCCTAATAAATTGTGATGTGGTATGTAACCACAAACGTTTTTAACAATTGTACATTTTAATATTACTAAATTGGAGAATAACTGCAGATGTAGAAGAGTTTGCTTCATAATATAGAATTTATGCTATAATTAAAGGTTTATGGAATATTAGAACTTCTGTCTTTCTTTTAAATACTTTTTATAATAAAACAAATTTGACTGATTGATTTTGTTGTGATGAGCTTTCACTGCCCTTGAGCGGTCACAATGAGAACTTAAATAACACCAATGATAAATGAAATGTTTGCAATTTTGGGGG